CAGTGTATATGAGCATCATATCTCAGAATCTGAAACAAATTGGCTATATTACAGTATAAAAGTGCACACAGATCTTGAGAAGGTAAATATGGAAGAAAGCTGTCACTGGGAGTGTAGAAAGAGAACTACATATTAGATTATTCTAAGAAGGGATAGGTGATTTATACATGACAGCAACAGAGACAAAACTACTAGCTTATATAACAGAAATTTCAAAAGACATAGCAAAGTTCTGTATAGGATGAGATACTAGCTGATGATAATGATGTTAAAGATAACTTGGTTTGATTTCGTAAGGAATCACTTTTGCATAAGTCCAAACTCTTTAGATCTCAAGGACTAGGAAAACTTGAGCTGACAAAAACAGGCATCTCATTAAAACTGGTACCTGTGTGGGTTCCGGGGCCCTATTATAGAGAAAACAAGAATAGACCCACTGCCTACCTAAAAGCATGTGTAAGAGTCGACTAATTCGGATCTTCCTTCGAAGTCGGAGTGCATCTGCCTTAGAGGCAAGGAACCAGCAGTCTGCATACAAATGTCAGATCTGTAAAATGGATGCACACGCAACACTCAGGTTCTGGAACAGGACTGCAGCCCAGAAGTGGACGAACAACCAGAACTTTCCGCTGGAGTTTACAGCTGGTGAATGTGAAGAAGAATTAAAATTGGGATAACAACAAGAAAATGCGTCATCTATTTGCACCTTACATATATACATGTCCAGTAACACCTAGTTTCAAAGCAGATTAATGTAAGATGTATACAAAACGTATAATGAAACATATTCTTATGTTCAATTAATTCAAAATGTAGCCCACACACACACAAATTAATGAAAGTGTAGACTTTGAAAAAATCAGTTACAAGTAAAATACATGTGTACAAACAGTAAAATAAATGAAACTATTACCAGTTGCGTAACTAACACCTATCCCATGGTATATTTATTAACCAAGCTCCCAAAGGCTATGATGGAAGTTTTCTTTACCCACTCCTTCTAATTTCAGATTCTTGAAATTCTGACATGCATTTTCAAAATCTGGGTGTTGGAATGGTGGGCTTGTAAGGTTGTAGAAGGTGTAACATTACCGCCTGAAATAATAGAATACAGTGGTTACTATATGAAAACTTCTTGAATCATGAGTAATTAAATTATAAATTTTGAGAAATAACATCTTAAAACACAGGACATAATAATTATTCCAGCTTCCTCAGCAGATAACAAAGTGCATAAATGTTATAACTGTCACAGTGTGGTTGGGTGTACATCTGAAATGTTTACATAACTGACTTGTAGTACCAATTCTAGTTTGTCATTTATGTTTTTTTGTTGTTGCTGATGAAGTATCACATTACACAGACATAATTTACTGATCACAGCTCACAGAAGCCAGCTTCAGGCCTCAGAAATGAGATATCTGAGAAAGGTGGTCCAAGTGACAAGAAGGGACAAAGTCCGCAATCAGAGAATACCGTCAAGATCTTGATACTCAGTCCTTACAAACCTGAGTGGATCAGTCACAGTTACGATGGTTTGGACATGTATGCAGAATGGGAGAAAATCGGCCACCATGGCAGGCATGGGAGGCTAAGAACCAGGGAACCAGACCTCCAGGACGACCCAGGGCGCGCTGAGAAGACAACATTCGATAGTCCCTAACTGACAGAGGACTGGAATGAAACAAAGCCAGAAAGCAAACAGATGATAGAGACGTCTGGCGATCTCTGTGGCAAACTTCTACACCCCAAGGTAGTAGAGGAGCGACTAAGTAAGTAAGTAAGTAATTTACTGATCACTTGCACCCCTAAATATTTTCTTTTTTAAAACTGCCCAATACTGCCTCTGCTGAGCCAGTGATTCCACCTTCTCTATGTCAATGACTCATAAATTGCTCAAGATAACATATCCATAACAGTGTCTGTATGTTTATCCTACCAGAAAAATACATACATAATATGGCCATTCACATTTTCCTTTAAATATCATGAAAAATAAACTGATGCAATGCTCTTTAATCATCAGTGATTCTGACAATTTACTATTTCAGCTGTCCTACGTGTATGCAAACATTAGGTTTCAGTAGAAGAAAACTTTTATGTGCACCTATTTCCATCTGCACAAATAGCATACGTAGGTAAATGTCTCTGTACTATATTTAGCCCTTTCACCCTGGAAATGATCAAGAAAAAGGCCATGAGCCTAGCTAGAAATTCTCTCCATCCCCCCACCAAAAAAAAAAAATACCATTTTACAAAAGTCTAATAATAATTTGTTTTAAAGTATTTATCTAAATGTTAACATATACAGGGAGTAATGAAAAAATATGAACAGAGTAAAGCATTAAATGGAATACATTCCTGAAATAATTTATTGGGTAACTTACACTGTGACCTCGTGGGAATTCAAACATTAAGGCTACAGACAATTGTGCTGTCAAAAGGCCACTATGTTCACAAGTAAACTTGCCAAGTGCTATTTTAAGTAAATATATTTATATCCTGAACTCTTAAATGATGTCCAGGTGCAAACACACAAATGGCCTTAACCAGGCTTTTCAGAGCAAGTCCTTGCAGCCATGCCAGGTAAATGGCATTTATGGGAATGAAATGAGTCACTGAAAGAAATGCTGAATTTGTGGCTTCTCGGTGCAAAAGGGTTTAAAAATCATGTCATTTTGTTACTGAGGCTCATTCTGGAAGTAACAATGTAACCTACTAAGCATGCTTTGAACGGCAACTAAGCAAGGTTGGTGTCAGAGTGTTACCTCGTCCTGCAGAAAGCATAAACTGCAAAATTAAACCAATCAGTAAGAAGTCTACATGAGTTAGCTGAAAGCCGACACTTCACTGGGGTAGGACACTGGCTGCTGAATATGAGGATGGTGTGTGTATGGGAATTTCCTGAGTGCTGTGATGTTGGTTCTCAACTTAACACTCAACAATTATCTAACCCAGAAATGAATGCTACAATTAGCACAGAGTAGTAGTGCTAGCTGTCAATGGATATAGATTTCTTTAAGCTATGTACAGCATGACTCAAGGTAGCTTCCTTGACTTGTAACTACTCCAATGTTTTTTGTGGCGGCAGAAAGTTGTCTACATTATGTAAAGAAATCAGTATCAATGTTCTCAATTTCACAGTCAGTATCACAAATCACAGAGACTTTTCCTTGTGTGGGTTCCGACGTCCCATTGAAGGGAAAACAAGCATGTCATAGGAGGGGAATAAATGGAGGCTTCCTTCAAAATCAGAGTGCAACTGCCTGAGAGGCAAGGAACCAAATGTCTGCACGCGAATAAGCCAGATCTGTAAAATGGATATACACACAACACTCAGGTTCTGGAACAAGATTAAAGTCCAGAGGTGGGTGAACAAACTAAACTTTCTGCCAGAGTTCACAGCCGGTGAACGCGAAGAAGACTGAGGCTTTCAAAGTGTCTCTGTAGCTTTTTAAAGTCCACATCTCAATCTCGCTCGACTAAATTAAGGTAGCTGAAAAAATTATTTGGTAGTTAATTATTTACTTTATGTGGGAAACATCTCAGTTGAAATTTTCACAGCATCAAATGAATGTTTGTTAAACCATCATTGAGACTATTTAGGTATATTATTTTATCACATCATTTTAAGTTCATTTGCTATATAAGTAATTCACATACTGAAGTGAATCATAGACAGTTGACCAATTAGTGAAAAATTATGTGGAAGTGTGGTTTTGTAGATGAATGTTGAGAATACCCAGAGTAGATAAAAAAAGAGCCTTGAAGATGTCTTTAAAAAAATGATTTATGAAGAGAACTGATCTGTCCACTTCAGAAGCAGAAAAACTATATTCTTTGGTTGTGTCAGGAGAAGGAGAAAACTGGAGTACATTTTGATGTTGCGATAGTTTGAGAAAATAAGAAGGAGACCACAATAAAAAATGATGGACAACGACATCATGGCCTGGAAGATCACCTGTGTCAGAACGGACTGAAAGTACACGAGACAGAAGGCTGTGGACAGACATGACAACCAATGCCACATGAGAGCAATGATGATAATCCAGTCATAAAAATGATAGTGGATAATCTGTCGACTTACTAACTAGTCAAGTATTTGTTTAAAATATAAACAAATGCTTACTTTTAATTTTGTCTTATCCCCCGTGTGGGTTCCGGGGCCCCATTGTGGGGAAAACAAGAATAGACCCACTGCCTCCCAAAAAGCATGTCGTAAGAGTCGACTAATTGGGGAGCTTCCTTTGAAGTCGGAGTGCATCTGCCGGAGAGGCAAGGAACCAACAGTCTGTATTCAAAAGAATGAGATCTGTAAAACTGATGCACATGCAACACTCAGGTTCTGGAACAGTAGTGTACGAGCAACCAGAACTTTCCGCCAGAGTATACAGCTGGTGAACGCGAAGAAGAAGAAGAAGAATTTTGTCTTATTGATGGTATATGAAGAAACCGATCAGTATGCTTTCAGCAACTTGAGTAAACCGAGTAAGGTGAACTTTTCAAAACATCAAACTGCACTTTGTCATAGATGTTTCACTCAGGGGTCATCTCCAGCAGGTCTCCTGTGAGCTGCAAATTTTTCATTGAGTGGGAATATGCTATCAAAATAATCATCATGCATCGCTGCGCATGTAAACTGATTTCCAAACAATTTCCACACATCTCTCAATCGCTGTATTTTCTATTTTTCAGGGGTACAGAAATTATTAGTCAAACAAAGATCACAGAAATTTGCCGCTTTAAGAAAACAGCAGATCTGCATAACTGTAAATTACACAATCAGAAGGACATGGAAAATCTAAGGCTATATGCAAAAATTTGTGTTAATGCATACAGGAGTTGCTGAGATATTTGTTCAAATGTGATGGCATAAGTTTTGAAATACACTATAACACTGCCTGTATATCTATTACTAAAAAAAGAAAAAAGACAGACTCATGTGTATGAGTTTTCTGCCAAATAAATCAGAACATTCACATTAGGAAAAACATATTCACCTTCTCATTGACCTGATAACCTGCAAAATCCTTCAATCTTTTCTTCTTTTCTTCTTCTTGTCCCATACTAACCCAAGTGTCAGTTACGACAACATTTGCTTGATGAGCAGCTTTCACAGGATCGTTACCCAAAACAATCGAAGCTCCAGTCTGTACAGAGAGAAAACATTTGAATGGAATATATCTGTAATTTAAAAAATTCAGCAACTGTGACTTTCATAAAATTACAAAGATGTTATGATAAATATAAACATATGTTTGCTAAAAATAAATTTTAGCTATGCTTAACCTAACCAATAATTATGTTTAGAAATGAAAATTAAATTTAAACTTTCAATACCTTAACTCCATAATTACAACAATGGATGCTGTTTAAAAAATGAATTTGCAGACGGAATAGCAAAAGAATTGAGAGCATGAATCTTTCCAGTGGCAAAGTACAGATGTGAATAATCAAATTTCAACAATCATTAAAGAAAATCAGGGCTTTTTAACTTATTTGCTATAGAAATAATTCTCAGAATATTGTGAATCTAAAACAAGAAAAATAATAAAATATAAGTAGAGGATGGTATAAACACAATACAGGTGGTCAACGCAACTATGGGGGCACAGTATCTATCGGGATGAGAGGTTACCTCTGGGGTGCCTGACATTAGCAGAAGTGTAACAGAGCAGAGCCCTCACTTTCCCTGGCAATCTAAATGGTTGCCAAAGGCTTAGGACATAGCCTACAGTCATGTGTCTGTGAAAGCAAGGGGACACTGCCACATTAATATCCCAAAAAACTTATCATGTGAGCAACAACAACAAAAAGGGCCAATACAAATAATAGCAGAAGGCATGGTGCCAGGAAGGAGGGGCCGACCAGCACAAAGATGGGCACATGATATATAGGACTCCTTGGATATGAAAGTGGAAGAGCCGGCAAAAGACAGTTTCTTTCAGGAATACCATGATGAGAGGCACATTCTGCAAAAGACCTGGTACACAATGATGATAATATCTGAAGAAAACTAGGAAATAAACAACATCATATCTCAGAAACGGACATTACCTCTTTCAGTACCAGAAGGGTTGTTAGGAGATTCTAAGGGAAGAGAAGGAGTTGACTACTTTGAAAAATTTTGTGTGATAATAAAGGGACCCATGGAGAAGCAAGATTTTATTAGTATGTTTAACCAAATATAAGAAGTAAAAGAATGTTCAATGACTGAAATATCTGGGGAATATCAAATGACACCTCATGCATCTCTTTCGACTCAGAGAGTTATAAAGCATAAAGTGAAGGGTCCCTTTACCATGCCTTAAAATACAGTGCTAGGCCCAAATTTGTATAGATCAATCAGCACTCATTGGGTAAAGTCTTCAATTTCCCCTAGGCCACCTTTACTGTCTAGAACATTAGCTGGTACCTATTTTAGACCAGGTTTTCCTGGACACACACTTCTATTTATTTTTAAATATCTCATCCTCAAAGGGGATTGAATTACACAGTACTGGATTAGCAGACAACAGTTCTAGCTACCGTCCTACCATGTTCTTACTGAACATTAGAAACATTAAAATGTTAATAATTATTATGTAATTTATGTTTAGTTAACTACTTCATAGCGGCTTACCTTCTGTGCTGTTTTGAGGGCTTCAGCTGTTATGTTCTGATCAGGTTCATAATCCTGAAATAAATATTGGTGAACAATTTATTAAATTCTTGAAAAAAAAAAATTTATAAAATTTACTTATACAAAAATCAAGAACAAGAGGACGTTCAAAGGAAACAGATGAATGGCATTGAGAGAAGCTGAAGCTGCTGGACTAGATTCTATCCAGGTTATCAAAAGGATTGCAGGGAACATAATAGAATTAAACTGCAAGCTCTATGTGACGCATAACGACACAATAAGATGATGATATACAAGTCTGTGTTAAATATGCCTCTGTAAACAGGATGATAGTTTGTGTAAAATATGCTTCTGTAAACAGGATGATAGTTTGTGTTAAATATGCTTCTTTAAACAGGATGATAGTTTGTGTTAAATATGCTTCTGTAAACAGGATGATAGTTTGTGTTAAATATGCTTCTTTAAACAGGATGATTCATTCATTCATTCAGTAGTATGTCCCTCGCGGAACCTCGCTGCCATAACAACCCTCCGGAAAACCTTCCTATCCTGAGCAAGATGTCCTGCGTCTGATACACCCATCTGGAGATCATCTGCCACATCCTGCACCCATCTTCTCCTTGGCCTTCCTCTTCCTCTCTTCCCAGGCATATACCCCTCCATTATTGTTCTCTCTAGACTTCCATGACGTTTCAAGTGACCAAAATATTTCAATTTTCTTTGTTTTATTGTCTTTACTAGCCAACCCTCTTCAATATTCAGCTCTTGAAGTATGGTGGCATTTGTTCTTTTCTTCACCCAAGATATTCTTAGAACCTGTCTGTAACATTTATATTCAGATGCATTTATGCGCTGTTCCGCTTGTTTAGTGAGTGTCCAGGTCTCACAGGCGTATGTTGCAATGGGAAAGATGCATGCTCTTAAAATCTGACCTTTGTAATTCTATCTGTACAATTCCATAATTTATTCAGTTGTTTTAGTCTTTGAAGAGCAATTGATAGTCGCCATTTAATTTCTTTCATTGTGTCACCATTGTTGGTAACCAGTGACCCAAGATATTCGAAATTTCCACCACTTCCAATCTTTCCTCATTTCAACATATATTTCCTTCCCCATGGCAGTTTTGTTTGTATGCATTATCTTTGTTTTTGCTATGTTAAGAAATAAGTTATGATTTTCACTATTTCTTTGGAGTGAGGTTAATAAGTTTTCTAAACCATTTTTGAATAGTAAACTGTATCATCAGCATAACGAATTTCTGGTATTTCATGACCACCGATGTTTAGGGCATCATATTTTCCTTGTTTATATCATCTCTTACATTTCTCATTATATTTTCGGCGTACAGGTTTGAACAAATACGGTGACAGCACACATCCCTGACGGACTCCTTGCTTGATGCCAAACCAGTCTGATGTCTCTCCATCTATTCTGACTGCTGCTTGTTGGTCTTGATAGAGCATTTTTTGAGCTGCACTATATGTGATGAAAAGCCCATATTCCTCATGATTTCCCAAAGCTTCTGATGTTGTACACAGTCAAATGCTTTTGAATAATCCACAAAACATAAGAACAGATTTACATTAAATTCTCTACACTTCTCTATTATTAAACGCATGTTGAATATATGATCTCTTGTTCCTCTTCCCTGTCTAAATCCAGCCTGAGCTACATTAATCTCAATTTTCTTATGCAGTCTTTCTCATTATAATTTTTAGTAGAATTTTACTTGCATGACTGATCAGGGCAATAGTTCGATAGTTTGTACATAATTTCAGGTCACCCTTTTTTGGTATTGGAATGAAGATAGTTCTCTTCCAGTCTTTTGGCCAAATACCATATTTCCAAATCTTTTCACATAATAACAGGATGATAGTTTGTGTTAAATATGCTTCTGTAAACAGGATGATATATTAGTGCTTGCTGAAAACTGTATAAATAAAAAACTAAAATAATTACACAATAATATTATTTTATATTTTTTTTATAAATAAAAAAAACAACAAAGTACACAATAATAATGCAGGTTGAGTAAATAATAAAGCAAAATACAGGACATTCCCTTCAATGCCACAACCCCATCTTCAGTGGCCAGTGCAGACTTTCAATACTAATGATTTTTAAAAAAAAAATAATTGTTTGGGGCATCTTTTTTTTCAGTCTGTTACTGTAATAGGGTCTTGGTGGTGAGTCGCATCATTTTTTTTTTGGGTTTATATTTTTGTGGTAAGCATCGGCACTTTCATTTCCTTAAAAAAAAAGCCTTGAGTACACCACAAAAATGGTATTGGAGTCTAACCCCACCAAACTATCATGCAGTGATATCACGTTGTAATGACAACCAGGTTTTCGTTTCTTTAAAAGAAAAAAACCTAATAGTGAGTAACCTATATTTGAGTTGTGTTTTTTTTGGTACGATTTTTTTTTAATACATTATTTAATACCCAAACCATAAGATACAAGATGAAGTGGATTTTTTTATTTGAAAATTTAGTAACGTTTTTGTTATGATAAGGATATTTGCAATATTAAGTTTTGATAAAAGGTGGGCGCATGGTGTAAAACTATATTTACACAAGGGAGAAAAGCTATGATGAAAACAAGTAAAACATAGTTTTCTACTCACTTTAGGTGTAGCAGCATTTAAATTGATGCCAAGCTTGGCACAGCCATACATGAGAGAATGTAGAATGTTATTGCCATCTCCAACCCATGCAATCTTTAGTCCTTTAAGATATCCAAAGTGCTCCTTAAAAAAGTATACATTAATTTTCTTTTTAAAATACAAAGCAAGAGAAAAATGCTGCTTCTCAGATGTGACAATCTGGCCAGAAATGATAAATTTGTTCAATGGTGCATGTCAAACCTGGCTATAATTTTATTTCAAAAACCACATAATACACTGTTGCAGAATTTTTCAGTATCAAATATTCATATCCTCATAATTTTCGTAACTGCTTTATCAAATACAAATTGAGAACAAAAATGAAGGTCATTATTTTTATTGCTCGATAAAAAAAATTATAAAGTGGGTAACAAGAAATGCACTGGTAAGTAAAGGCAGACAGCACGATATTTATTACACAACCCACTGGGCATAAAATAATGATGTATGGAGTCATTTAGTTGGCGTCTGTGGCTTAAACGTTGCAAACGCACTTTGTAATGAAAGGGTACTGGGTTTGATTACAGTTGCAGGTGATTGGCAGCATTGGTTTGAGAGGTGACTGTTCAGTGGCAATGGCAGACTACTGAACGTAAAATATGCCTAGAAAAACCACAACAACCAAAAAATGTTGGGTCTGGTTCTACAACATCCTGTAAAAGGATACGCAAACTAACTAACCTTAATGGAGTCATTTAATGAATGCTGTTGTCCAATTCTAAATGAAAAACAATATGAAAAAGTAAAGGATCCTTGTCACTTAATTGGCACAACAGGTAAATGGTAAAGGACTCAACCTATATTTTTACTGATCAACTGGCATTTGATGTATTCTGTGGTCAATATCATGTCAAAAACAGCTGAAAAATACCAGAGTAAAATAGTATTCCTCTAGGTAAGAATGATGAAAAATGGAAAGAGAAGAATTGTGCTCAAAGATTGTAATGAAGGTAAAAGGCAATACAAATCATGGATGTTTTAATACAAACATGATGAAATTACATGAAGTACCCAGAAGACTGTTCACACGAAGATAAAAATAAAAACATTAAAAACAAAAACTTTAATGATTTACCTGTAATGTTAATAAATCAGCAAGAATCTGTAGTGGGTGTAATAAATCTGACAGTCCACTGACCACTGGAACCTGTGACTCTTTTGCAAGTTCATCCAAAATATCTTGTCCATATACTCTTGCCAGGATTATATCAGCCATACCAGCCAAAACTCTAGCAACAAACCACATACAGTTACAATTTATCACTTATCACATATAATAAATACACACAATGAGGAAAATGTCTTTGTTTGGAGAAATAAATAATCTTGTACAGTTTTTGAAACAATTCTCAGTTCTTCTTCTCCTTCTTACCATTCCCCGGCTGTAAACTCCAGTGGAGAATTATGATTGTTCAACTACTTCTGGACTTAGTCTCATTCCAGAACTTGGATTTTCTGTGCCATTCATTTGACAGATCTAGTTTATTTACATGCAGACTTGGTTCCTCGCCTCTTAGAAAGATGCACTCTTGATTTCAAAGAAACACTTCTAAATAGTTGCCTTTTTGGTCATGCTTGCTTGGGGGCAGTTAGACCATTCTTTTCCTCCCAAAAAAGGGGAAACTGTCAGATGACTTTGAAAATTTTCCCTCTTACTGCAAGTAAAACTTTTAAAAAACAAAGGGTATTTATTTACAAGGCACAAAATACAAAGCAATATTTCACATGGAGTGATAATATAGTTTTCTTTGCAATGTCTAACCTAAGGCAAATATAGTAACAACCAAATTTTGAATAATTCTAGGCTTCTAGTATCAAACAAAGACCCTTACTACAACTAATAAGCAAAAATATTACAACAAAAGAGATGTCATGTTATAGGAGAGCTGTGAGAGTAACAAGAAGAGCTCAGATGAGACTGATCCACTAATAAGAATACCCTGATATCAGCTGCCATAGAGAATCATGGTGAAAAAATACAACGAACACTGAGCAAGGGGAACTAAATGCGAAAGATGGAAAAGCAACATCAAGAACACCCTTAAAGAAATTAAGACCAGCTTATAAAATACATTAGAAAGAACCCATAGATAATCATAACATCTGACCCCAATACTTCTCTGAGGTCACTGCAGGGAGAGATGAAGAAAAAAAATGTCCCACCTGGCAGAGTCTTTGACACTTTCATTTACACCCAAATGAATATCATCTGGTCCAAGAAAACATGCATGGCCTCCAAGTTTTGCCATTCCTATATACATGAATACAAATTTTAAAAATTAAATACACTAAGAAACAAAGTAGACAAAATGGTCACAGACACTTACACATAACACTTTTATGTCATTATCATCATCATTACCCTGTTATGTCGTTAAACATACACAGGGTTATTTTCTCATCTAGTTCTGTCTCGTATGTGAGCTCCTTTTCTGAAAAAAATTGATTCAGCTGTTTAATCTGTAAGAGGATAGAAAACCTGTGGAGAAAATTGTATGTTCACTATTACGATGCATAACAGGACCTAAAATACAAGAAGTAATCTGTTTATTATCTAGAGGAAAAAACATTCATTTATTTCCTCACCTAGTTCTGTTGACAGTCGGGTACGAGTGCTCCTTTTCTGAAAGATTAATGCAGCTGTTTTACCTGTAAGTGGCTGGAAAACCTGTGCAGAAAGTTCTATGTTCATTATAACAATACATAGCATGACCTAAAATACAAGAAGTAATCTGTTTATTATCTAGTTACAAAAACAACTCATTTATTCTTTCTACTCATGGGTCATAGTGGATGCATCAGTGAGTCAAAAGTGAAGTCCACAAAATAAAGGGTATACTACATCCACAATCAAAAATGACCCTAACTTTCAGGTCGATCCAGCCTTGAGTGGGTACCACGTGCAGTCCTGGTAAGTAAAGGCATGCTGACCACATCACCCATCAAGTGCTGATTGGTCCATAAAAATATAGGTCTAGCCCTATATTTCCAATATGCGTGGAAAAGGGACCTTTATTTTTTACATCCACAGGGCCCAAATACACAATCCTTGTGGCAGAAAAATGTATTCTCGAGTGTTTTAGCATGCCTCAACTAAACATAAAATGTACAAGCATAATAACACATTAACTGGTACACAGAGCAAATCCAGTCCAGTGTTATTTGGGACTGAAAGAGTTAATTCTTGTATAATCATACTGCAAAAAAAAAAAAAGAGTGAGAGGTAGTAGAATTTATAACAATCATATTTTGATCAACTGTTCAAAGTTATAAGGGGGATATTGAATTTTTTTCAAAATAAATATATTAAACACAATACAATTATTTCAAGTGTTTGAAACATATAGATAAGATAAGTTGATAATAAATGAAGAGAGAGAGAGAGAGTGGGTGGGTGTGTGTGTGTGCGTATATATGTGTGTGTGTATATATATATATATATATATATATATATATATATATATATATATATATATATATATATATATATATATATATATATATATATATATATATATATATATTAGGGCTGTACTAAATATTCGCTTTGTATTTGCTTCGGGGCCGAATAGTGGACCTATTGACTATTCAGTATTTGGCCGAATAGTTGAGGTCGGGCCGAATATGAATAGTAGATACCTTACACCCGCTTTTGCATACACGGCCTTAATACTGACAACATGGAACGATTGGTTTTGTGGAAAGTTAATGCAGCTTTCTTGCATTAACCAAGCTTAAGGTGAAATTTCCAAGTTTAGTTACTTGATATAATATTTAGAAGTCTTTCACTCCTAGTTATTAGTTTACACAGACTGGCTGGAGGATGCAAAACATAAAATGTTTTTAAATGTTTACTATTCTGTACGAATACTAACTGGACATGGAAAGAATATAAACCACATCCAAGTCGATAATATTAAAATCAAACGGAAACATATAGGTACTTGGGTGCAAACTTCAACTGCTCCAACATGCTGAGAGAAGAAATACAATCTTGAAAACAACCTAGAAATAAAGAATACTATGCCCTTCAACATCTGCTAAAGTCAAAGTGTCTGTCTCGCAACACCAAGATCAAAATATATAAAACGTTGATAAGACCAGTCGTTTTTAATGGCTCTGAAACTTGAAGCAGAAATAAAAGAGATGAGGCCTTATTACAGGTTTTTGAAAACATCTTTGGACCCATCAAAGATGCTAACAGCGGGGAAGGTAGGGTGAGAAGCAACAATGTAACACATAATCTGTTTAAATCACCAATGATTACTGGCATCATGAGAGCTAACAGACTTAAATGGTTGGGGCATATTGAAAGAATGTCAGATGATAGAGTCGTAAAACTGTATACACCTGAGAGAGGAATGGGCGTAGACCACGAGGCAGACAAAAAAGAAGTTCGAGAGATAATGTCCAGCCAGACCTGCAAACAACTGCTGTCACAAATTGTGAAGAGAAGGCCAACCAGAGAGATGAATGGAGACGAGTGATATCTGCAGCAGTAAACCTCAAGGGCTCAGAATGCTAAAGAAGAAGATGACTATTCTGTGCTACTTTATGAGAAGTAAAGGTTCAGCGAACATTTGACATTATGAATGGTTTTTTTTTTTAGATATATTTTATACACTATACACTATTCGTATTCGGCTGAATAGTTGGTCCTGTTATTCGTATTCGGCCGAATAGTGAAAATCACTATTCGGTACAGCCCTAATATATATATATATATATATATATATATATATATATATATATATATATATATATATATATATATATATATATATATATATATATATATATATATATATATATATATATATATATATATATATATAGACACACACACATCACTCTTCATTTAAGAAATCAAATCTGTTAAGACAATTACCATATTTACCCAAGTATAAGACACATTTTTTTCAAAAACATAGTTTAAGAATGGTGTACATCTTAAACAAAGGTAGTAGATTTTTACTAAATTATTTATTAGAAAATATCCTACACAGGGTACATTTGGGGATGCTAGTTCAGGGGCGACACAGAATATAAAAAATTATAAGATTATAAGCTCTGACCCACTACAATAATTTTTGTGCTTGTCTTTGCGTTCGATTTGACCTAGTTACATTGGGAATTCCTGTGTCCACTAAGATTCAACCATTTGATGTCAGCATTAACAATCCCTTCAAAGTAGACAATGGATGAAGTCTTCTGGGAATAAGTTGACACTAGCAGGTAGTGTGAAGAAACCAACTGTTGGAGAAGTTTTTAAGTGGGTGAGAAAATCCTGGAATGATGTGAAGTTTGAGATCGGTGTCAGTTCATTCAAGAAGTGTGGCCTTTTAAATGCCACAGAAGGAACCGAGGAAGCGGCAATATATGAAGACAGCAAGTATGAGTACGAAGATGACTGATGAGGCCGATGCAGGCCTGAAAAGTTCTTGGACTTTGAGGACAGGGAATGAGTGTTGTGCCAGAAGGGGATCTCCTGCACTCGCCTTTCTGTCCATCCTTTTCTTAATCAATCTTGCTGTTCTGTTTGCTTCACATGTAGCCGCGCTCTTGTGTAGAGTTGCACACCATGCATTTCGGTCTTGAGACGCAGCCTCCCGATTGGTGTCATTCTTCCTAAATGCTTTGAGTGAAGACATCAGGGTGTCCTTAAAGCATTTCTTTTGCCTCCCTTGGAAACGTTTCTCATTTTGCAGCTCACCTTAGAAGAGTTTTTTTTGGGAGTCTGTGATTTGGTTCCTTACTTACTTACTTAGTCACTTCTCTTCTACCTTGGGGTGCATAGGTTCGCCATAAGTCTCTATCAGCAGTTTTCTTCCTGGCTACTTTGGGAAATATGCTACTTTAAGAAGATATGCAAGTGTGTAAGGTAAAACAAAATAACAGCCTTCTGAGATAAAGAGAATAAATTCATGATCTGATTATAGTAGGGTCTTATTTGTGCATACTTCTCCATTGTCTTTTATTCTTGTCTTCAAGTCTTTAGCTGTCCATAAAAACTGCTTGATATCATCCGATGTAAAATATCTCAAGCTGAGAAAGTCTTGACCAACAAGGTGATTGGCTTGTCTGAAATAAGTGACAAAGAAAATTTAGCATTTTTTCATTTAGGTACAAGACAATAATGTTGCAATGTAAAAGTATCTGGCGATGTCCTAATCCGATAATGTCACTCATTCGGTAACAAATTAAGGTATAAAGTCTCTTGTTTGTGCAAGATTTATTTATGTGAGCAAGTTTTTAAATATGGTATTTAGAAGATTCCATACAGGTTTGTATCGCTCTTTTCATTTTCTATTCTGCCCTTTATTTCCCCATTGGAGCAAACACTCAAGTAATTTGCTTTAAGTCATTCTATTCCTTGCATATGCAATGTGTGTGTGTGCATATGCATTCATGCATGCATGTGTATAGGTGTGTGTGCACATGCATGTACATTTGTGTGTGTGTTTATATAGTCCACTTATCTATGTACAGGAACATAAGGACTATTCTGGAGCATAGGTCCTCAACCAGTTCACATCAAGCCCTCCTATCTTTTGCATTCTCACTTAGCTCCATCCATATACTCCACCTATCTCTAAAGGTCTTCTACACATGTTTTACAATGTAACTCTATTACACAAGAGTTCCAGATAAAGGTCTTGTTATATTATTAACAGGTTTTCTCAATGTTTTTTTCTATTCAGCACTAGCTATTTTTCCTCACATATTGATTACTGGCTGAAAGAATTGACTATAAGATTATCTCTCTATAGTTTTCTCACTGGCATTATGAGGACTAACAGACTCAAATGGCTGGGGGCATACTGAGAGGATATCAGATGACAGACAGATAGAAACTTTGTACACAAGAGAGCTGAATGGTTGTAGACCACGATACAGACCAAGAAGATGTGAAGAGATAATACGGACTGAGGAGATGTGATGAAACTATATACAGACAGACCTGCAAACACTTGGTGTCACCAGCTGCAAAGAGAGGACTTATTACAAAGATGGGTGGATAAGAGTCATATCTGCAGCACTGAACCTCTAGGGTGCAGAATGCTGAAGAAGAAGTTTTCAGACTCCTGTCACGTGATGAGACAGACATACAATCAGACTGTTACTGGTAACATCAGTAACTGGTAGTCTGCGCTTGTTTCTATGACTGGTCAGTTCTCAGTTCATAACTCAAATCTGCTTGTATATCTTTATTTTGGGTAATCTTTATGACTTTTATTATAGTTTTTATTTTTATTTTTAGCTCATTTGTTAATTTGATATAAATGTTAGTGGGAACTGTATCATGGCAGATTTTTTTTTATTAGTCCACTTGGTTGATTACATTTTTCCTCAGGTGCTGTAAAGGTATCTCACTAGAAGGTTTCCTTTTGTTGATTTTCTTCTGCATCTTCTGTTAAGCTATCTAACTATTGTTCTTTATCCACTTTCTAACTTCTTTACTGTAGCGAATGTGTCCAGAATGTCTAACTACTCATCTAGTTTATCTATTTCAGTGTGAAATTATTTTTTGACACATTAAATTGTTAACTTTTGAAAAATGTCAATTTTTGGGAGGATAACTCAACAGGCGCACACCTATGGACAATCTAAAGTTTTGGGATTTTTAGGCTATCCCTGTTTCTGCCTCCAGTTTGCTCCAAAAAGTCAAATTACACATCTAATTACATATTCCAAGATACAGTGTTTATTCATATGTCAAATATGTGTTTAGGATTCAAGTAGTATGACACCAAAAGTTGTTCTTAGTAAAATCTGTTCTCTCATTTGCCTATCTCTTTTTCTGTCACCAATTTGCTCCAAATGTTTGGAATGTGTTTAGAATTTTAAAAAAAAAATGATTTTTACAGTAAATCAGGGATTAATCATTTTGTGATGAATTATGGATGTGGACTGCTCAGTGTATCAAAATAGTCAACCAGTGAAACTTGAAATTATATAGAATGAAGCCATGCAGGTGATTCTGGGAAATATAAAATAACCTCAGTAGTATGCATGTGATATATTCTTGCACTGCCGAAAGGCTCAAAGTTCTGCACCTCAGAGAAGCTGTAACAACAACAAAACTCATGCAGGAACCCTAGAAAAATTTAGGATCACAGAATAACAAAAGGGAAGTCTAGGATGGTGCAAGCAGAAGACATATTTAGACGTGTGTGCATGCTTGAAAAACAAACTGGACGAGGTGAGTGGAGTGTGTAAATTTGTCCAAGCAACAATCATTCTTGTGCAATGTTCTATTCACATTTGGCTGGGATTGCCAGCAATACAGAAACAGAAATCCAACTCATTATTTCAAAGACAATTTCTGCCCAGGTGATGTAATTATCCATACAGATGGCTCTGTGTTGAGAGGCTGAAGTAGTGAACTGGAATGCATAGTAAAAGTAAAGGACCTTTTTACACGCCTTTCAGGCGTATTGGGTATATAGGGCTAGATCTATATTTTGTAGACCAACGGCATATGATGGGTAATGTGGTCAGCATCACGCCGGCTGACTTTACTTTCCAGGACTGCACCTGGTACCCACTCAAGGGTGTGTCAACCTGGGAGACAGGGTTATTTTTAAAAAAAGTCCGGCTCCACTAGGGAGTGAACCCGCAAAATTCCAATCCGCAGACGAGCAAATAGCCACTAGATCAAGGCAACTCCCTAGTGAACTGGGGTTCAAAGTAAAAGTAAATAGATGATGCTTAACTCATAAAAACATGCTGAAAAAGTGGAGACAGGCATTGTCTGTTTGTGGCAAGCATCACTTCCCAGGTCCCAAGTAGCATTCTTTTGAAACTGTTATTCTTCATGCAAGTGTGTTGAGAAATGAACAGGCAGACAGAATGATGGTTCTGCACCAACTGGAGGTAAATGGGTGTATGACCAGCTAGATGCGACCAAGGCCCTTTAGGAGTGAGTGAACAGCGTGGAAGCCCAAACAGATCATCATAGTCTGGAGAGAATGGTGCAGCCAGGAGTGACCAAGTGATCTGACCGACACTCAGAAGTGTAGGCACTTAGAGGAAGCGCAAGATGGGCATATATATACATACAGTCGGAATGCTTGCTACTAGTACCACTGGAACTGGAAATCTGGGCTGGCTGCTAAAGATGGACACTGAGCACTTATGGTAGGTAAGGTCCGGAAGCTGTGATGTTGGTTCATAACTCGGTTAAAAGTGTCCATTGCCAGTTTAGTTTAAAGCCCATATGCGCGCACGCGCACAACAAAAAGAGAGAGAGAAACTGTATCTTACCCATCTTTAGAGATCACAGGTGTGTTCAAAAATGTGTTGCTGGTAGAAAAATGGCACTGCAGTTTCACCAGAGAAGCCACATTCCCAGGATTATGTCTCAACAATGTAGCAGATGATTTGGAAAGCTGTTCCAATGCACACCAGCTTAACAAGCGCCATGTATTATTCATTTTATTCCCTCTTCAACCTTTCGGGAATAAGAATGAAATGTCAGTAAATAGGTTATCTCTGCAAACACCGAATTGCCAACGCGTAAACAGGATTGTGAACTCTGACGGTGACCTTAGACCTTGACACTTCGTCCTTGACACCGACCGTTTTCCAGGAAGATTTCATAACATGGTGAAAGATGGCGCTAAGTATAACCCCTGACTATTCGTTGTGGTGCAATACCCGAGATACCCGGCCAGGTATATAAACTGCCGAGTATCTGTTTCCATACTGAAAGATGTGATCAACTAAGATAAACGCTCTGTGAGCGCATTTTGCTTATCATCATGTAAATAAAGTTTACTTTAGCTTTACCCTACCAAAGGAGACCCAGAAACAAAGTTTTGTGAAGCAAGCCGACCTCGTTCTCTCTAGAAGAAACATGGTAAAAACATTTTTTTGTCATCATCGTCATGGTTCGCAAAATTTATTTGATTTGTTTAATTATCCTTAACAGTTTCAGCATGATAGCAGTCGTGCCAAGGCAGAACGTCATCATATTCACTATTGTCCTCTTGTGTCATTAAATATCACGGCTCTCCTTTGAATCGTTCCCCAAAATGGCTGCTTTAATATGATGGCGTTCGAAAGAGAGCTAAAATTGGCCAATTTCTGGCCATAAAATATCTAAAAATATCTGAATGCGGGTCAGTTCTATTAAAAATATATATGCCGGCTCCGGATAACGAAACAAATGCTCTGACAGGGTCTCGGTGATACGTTGCTTGCTGACCTGCTTCTGCGAGTGTGCCTCACTGTTGAGCGTATCCCCCGCGCCGCTACGCACGGCACGGATGGGGGCTAAACTAGATGGCTAGGACTCACGAGCGGCAGCTACCGCATCTCCTGCAACTTCCTCCAATTACTGTACTCATGAGTCCAAGGCACCTAGTTTGGCCCCCATCTGTGTCGCGCGTAGCGGCGTGGGGAATACGCCCGACGGTGAGGCACACTCGCAGAAGCAGGTCGGCGATGAGTGTAATCGCGTTTGGCACATGCTAACAAGTCTGACATCTACCGCTGCTAAATCCTCCAATCGGAAAAACACAGTATTGCTAATCGGCTTTCATCATCTGTAATGTCTCGAAATTGGTCAACGGTCGCTAATATCGTCTGCTAGTATCGTCTGCAGAAACGCTCGAAATTGTCAACCGTCTGTATTTATCGTCCGCTACTAATACCGTGTGCAAATGTTGATATTGATTGTCAAGTAATCCTAGTTTTGCCGCGATTTGTTCCTTGGCAGAAAGTCCGTATTTTAGATATACGCGAACACCGTCGTTCGGATATTTTTGGATATTTTATGGCCAGAATATGGCATGCCGCCATTTTTTTGAAATGATTCAAAGGAGCGCCAATATCACATTATGTTCCTCCATTTAGTTCTATCCTTCCTGTGCAATCAAGTCAATATCCATGGATGAAATCCAGTCCTGCAACTTGATGCTCTCTCAATATAGTTCGTTTTAGCTTTCCTTTTGGGCGTCCTCGCTTTTTCAATCCATTTATTTACTTCTTTTTTTCCAGACTTGTTTTAATTTAGCATTATCTTCGTTGTCTTATAGCTGTTGTTGCCGGTAGTTGCCGAGACACTTCTCTTATCTTCACCCATCTTGAATTCATCCCATTTGATGGCACTCTTCCGAATATCGGTCCCAAAGCACTAGATAACAGCAGCAGGTATAACCACATCAGCAAAGACCCTGGCTGGCAAAGGAGGCAGTAGTTGATAAATAACACAGAGAAGAATGAACTACAAAGATTAGATAAGTATTTTTAACAATACAAATAAAATACCTCTATCATATTTTAGGAAAACTCTTATACAATAGTGAGAGTTGGAATATGATGGTAAGAATAATTCATAAACTAAACACTTTACAGAAAAAAAAATTACCTGCAAATTGTTAGACCATTCAAGATCACAAATGAAGAACTGAGGAGAAGAAAAATGTTCATCTAGCAAATTTTATCTAATGAAGAAAATGGAGATGGTTTTGACATGTTTGCAGATTGACTTATGACACTTTGGTAAAGACAGCTCTCTGGTGAATGGTAGGTGTACAAGGGAGACATGGCTGATGTAAGGAAACCTAGTGAAGGACAGTAGAAAAAGAAATGATGGAGTGTCAGCTGACATAGGATACGATACCATGGGCAGACAAGCAGCAGACTTGCAGGGGACATCAATTGTGAATGCCTTATGTGTCATCAACAACATCAACAAGGCTGTCTGTAAACAGGTTGAAGAAAGTTGATCATTTTCTTATTTAAAAACAAAACAAAAAAGCTATAATATTTCTGTCCACAACAAAGCAAAAGCTGTTAGAGCCAAAGCAGTGATCAAGTGGTAGAATGTAAGTAATCAGTTAAAAACAGATGGAAAAGAATTGATTAAAACTGTTGTTTTTAACATATGCACTCAAGGAGAAAAGTATGACTAATATCAACACTATTTTTAAAATGTTATTAAACAAGCGCAAAGATCCCTCATATACACAATACATGCACGCATTACTGCAGCCGCAGTTTGTATATTAGGTACATAATATAGTTATTGTTATGAGTTGCAATAACATAGTGGCTAGGGTGCTTGACTGTCATTATAGTGGTTCAGGGGAAAGGCAAGTCAAGTAGTTAACCACATGACAACGGGTACCATTAGTATAGAGTCTCTTCACTTGATGTTGAACAGGGAGATAAAGCTGAGGTGGACTTGTCTTGAATGGTGTGATGTTTACGCATTACTCAGATAAACCTGTAAAGTGGTCTGTACTGTTCCCTTGATTAGCAGAGTTGTAACCAACCATTACATCTGTGTGGAAAATCCAGTCACAAAATTTAATTGCTGGACTTTGACTGCAAAATAGAGAGTAAAGAAGACAACATGTCACCCCCCCCCCCTCCCCCCCCCCCCCCCAAACCCGCCCTTCCAATACTTTCCTATGCCATGACCTAGCAAAAGCCTAACACTTCACACAACCCTGCATCACCATCTACTAGTGTCAAAAAAGCAAAGGGGTTGAAACACTTGGTGATGATCAGAGGTCTCCTATTGTGTTCACTCCTCCAAGGAGTTCTTTCGTCTGATTACCATTATGATCTAAGTTTCTTAAAATTTTTGTTTCTCAGGTATACATAAGCATGGAAGTGCTCCAGGAGGCTATGCGCCACCGGCACAACATCCGTAACATCGCTGTCATTGCTCATGTTGACCATGGTAAGACAACCCTGACAGATTCCCTGTTAGCTCGAGCTGGATTCATTTCCTCATCTCAAGCTGGAACAAAGAGAGCTACAGACACTCTTAAAGCTGAGCAGGAAAAGGGCATCACCATCAAGTCCACGTAAGTAAACTGTTGATTGAAGAGACTAGTTTTCCATTTCGGTAGTATGCTTCTTCTTCTTCCATTCACTGGCTTCAAACTTTGGCAGAAAGTTCTGGTTGTTTGTCCACTTTAGGACTTTAGTCTTGTTCCAGAACCTGAGTGTTGCATGCATATCTATTTTACACATCTGACTTACTTGTATGCAGATTGTTGGTTCCTTGCTTTTCAGGCAGATGCATTCTAACCGCAAAGGAAGCACCCATAAGTCAACTCTCACAACAAGCTTATTTAGGAGGCAATGGATCTAGCCTTGCTTCCCTCCACAATAGGGCCCTAGAACCCACACAGGGATGGTAGCATGTTTAATAAGTTTGTTGTTAAAATTATTCATAGAACACCATGACTTGAATTACAAAGTTCCCTGTGTTAGTTCCTAGGCCCTAATTTGAGATGAAAAATAAAGAATGGATTTACTACCTTAAACAGTCATATCATAAAGGTGACTAATTAAGAGTCTTTAGAAATTTAATATGTTGGGTTGAAAAGCACAAATTTTCGCAGTCTAGCTGTAAACAACATCACAATGTACCAACCACTTTTTAAAGGCAACTATAGAAGAAAAAGAAGAATGCCAAAGCAACGAGCTTTAAAATTGGTCAATTGTAATTGTTGTATTTCATTTTTGCAGGGCCATCTCTCTCTACTATGATCTTGGAGCTGAAAACATGAAGCAGTTTGGACTGACAAACTCCGATGGAAGTGGATTTCTTATCAACCTAGTGGACAGCCCAGGACATGTAGACTTCTCTCCAGAAGTGACAGCAGCTCTGCGCATCGTTGACGGTGCAATGGTTGTGGTTGACTGTGTTAGTGGTAAGTAATCTATGCATACACAAATTAATACTGTAATATTTGCCATATATATCCCAGTCAAAGTGTTTTTTATACACAGATTTTCAAATTAACTTTCAGTGTTGTAGTTTTTGATTTATTGCATTTATAATATTAAAAGATATATACTTAATACGCGAACAGGACTACACTATTACTGTTTTTAGCATTACGTTTAGCATTACGTTTTAGTGGTACAATGTAACAACTCTAGAACAGTTGGGGGCATGTGGAGGGGTGGCAAAGGGTGGGGGTGAAATCACAAAAAAGTAACATACTAAAAAAAAAAAAAATAAGCTGAGTAATTGTCATTACTATTTATATAAGGAAATTGAAACAGCTAATGTAAAATTGGTTAGAAAATATTTCTTCTTCTTATGATCGCTCTCTCAGTTACACCGACAGACAGCTTATTGTTATAAAATTTACTGTTTTTAGGAGTTCCCTTTTAGTTCCATACAACTTTATGTTTGGTGTTGACTCACTGGGCCACTATTCCCTTCTCAATGGACTGCACATAGGACATTCTTGCAGGACATGTTCTGCAGTTTGCACACACAGCCCACATGGGCACAGTGGTGAACTACTTAGACGAAGCCTATGCATATGCTTGTTAAGTTTGTTATGCCCTACCCTTAGTCATAGAACTGTGGCCTGTTTTTGCCTGTCAAGTAAATGGTAGTCATCTCTTGCCAGATTCTTCACTTTTGATAGACTTGATGTTTTTTTTTTCTTCCTCAAAGTATGTTATTTCAGAAATTTTTAATTCACACATTTAAAATGTTTAAATGCCTTTTCAGAGGCATACATACTATATAATTACTTTAAATGTAGAGAGTTTAATTTTGTTTTATTGCTTAATTCCAATATAATTTTTTTTTAAATGTAGGTAAAATGGTAACTTGTATTTTTGTTGTTGAGTTTTGGATCTTTTTTTCTGGGACTGAAAATATCAGTTGAGGCATTGAATGCATTATATTTTGTTTGTTTAAATAGGAGTAAGTGTCCAAACAGAAACCGTCCTCCGCCAGGCTCTGTGTGAACGCATTAAACCTGTGCTGATGATGAATAAGTTGGATCGCGCCATCTTTGAAAAAGGCCTTAGTCCAGAAGAAATTTATTGTACCCTCCGCAATGTCGTCGAAAATGTGAATGCTCTCATAGCAACTTACGCAGAGGACGAATCGCCCATGGGGGATCTTATGGTAAGTAAATTAACGAAGTTTATATTTTATATTTTTATGTTACTGGATCCCAAAAAGAAAGCATAGTAGCACTGCATTCTATTTTACATGTCATAAGAGGCAAATAAGGAGGGTTGGCATAAGACTGGCTTCAAAAACCAGAGTCATGAACATGTGCTACAGACATGCTGTCTACATACAGTAGAGAGAATCCAGGTTTGGTCAGTCGGCATTTCAATGAAAGCCAAGCTATATAAAACAATCGAAGACATACACAGTGTAGCCTTCTCATCTGACAACCACTGGCAGAGTGAATGAAAATAACAAGAAAAAAGAGTTTGACTTGAGTTAGTTGAGGGCCTATGCTCCATTGGGAGATGAAAGGCAGAAAAAGATATTATAGACATATGCATAGCTATTTACAATCTTTATATTGGAAATGTAATCATAGTTTGTACTGTCCTATTTGGGTTTTAGACTGTGAAAAAAGATAGCAGTATATTGGGCACATAAGGAAGAGAAAGGGGGCTGTGTGGTCTTGAGGCATGGTGTCCATCTCGAGTGCTAGAGGTTCAAGGTTCAGTCCCCAGTAAGGGCTGGGATTTTTTAACGGGGACTTGGACTTCTGGCAATTCCCCCTGGTCTCTGGGTATTGAGATCGGGCACCTGTGTGCATTGTTTCGCACGTAAAAAATTCCTTGACCGTTGGAAATCATGAAGAGTAGCCTAACAACGCTGCCCGGGCAAAGTTTTGGAGTTAAAAATCTACCCAAAGTATCTCGCCTGCGCACTGTGCTGAGCTTCTTCGGACTCAGACTTGAGTTAGAAGATGAACGGAGCACTTATGGGTTACACCCGTGTGCCATATGTTGATCCATTGTTCAAAACTTCAAAACCTCAAATGAGGAGAAGGACAGAGAATTACTGAACAGGCACTGAAATGAGAAACAAATAGATTGAAAAAAAAAAAATGAAGACATCGAAGAGAGAAATTCTAAGATGAAAATTGCTGAGAAAGACCAAAAGTGCTGGACTAGATTCCCTCCCTGATGTCCAGAGAGTTGCACAGGACAGAATAGAATGGACGGCTAGACTGTGAGCCCTGTGTGACATATAACAGCACGTATTGATGATGATATTTTAGACTGTAACCCAGTGTTTTGTGTCTCCTGAAAATATACTTTATTTGTCACTATATTAAGATGGACCCATCAAAAGGCAATGTTGCTTTTGGTTCTGGTCTCCATGGATGGGGGTTCAACCTCCGGCAGTTTGCCAATCTCTATGCTGCAAAGTTTGGCATCAAGGAAGAGAAACTCATGAAAAGGCTTTGGGGTGAGAACTTCTACAACCCAAAGACTTGCCAATGGACAACTGAAGTGACTGAAGGATCTGTGAGAGGGTTTAACCAGTTTGTCCTTGAACCTCTAATCAAGGTAAATATTATATTTGTGCTTTGTAGAATTTAACTGTTTGTGACCCAGGCAGCCATAATAATTATAATTATTATTATATTAGCTTGTTCTATTGGTATTTATCCCTTTATTTCATTCAGAGTTGGAGTGTATCTACCTGAGAGACAAGTAACTAACAGTCTGCATACAAATAAGCCATTACTGTAAAATTGATGTACATGGAAAAACTCAAAGTTCTGGAACAAAACTAAAGTCAAGGAGTAGATGAAAAACTAGAACTTTCCATTTAAGTTTACAGCGGGTGAACATGAAGAAGATCTCTTTGTATTGCTCTTTTTTTTTCTTTTCAAGACAGCATATGTGACTCGGGGGTTGCAAACACAGTTGATAACTGAGATACTAGTTTATTTCAGCTGTTCGTCCGCTTGATGTAGAACTGGACAGTGATATAGAGCGTTGACTGTTCAGTAAGCAGTGACAAAATACTGAACATAAAATTGTCCAATTACCTAAATTGCCTAGTAAAACCAGCCAGCAAACAAATTCTAGGGTTGGTCTGTAAACATCCTGTAAAGGATATGCAGCTCAATTTCTTTTTTTTTTTTCCCGATAACTTTATCAGCTGTATTAAAACTATGAATAGTAAAAAAAAAAGCAAAATAACAGTATGCACACCTATAAAGGTGTTATAAATAAATGTGATAATGGCACACAAGCACAACATAATCCTCATTTAAAAAATAAATAAAAGGAAAGACCCTTTTCCGCACCCTCAGATGTATTTGGCACATAGGGCTAGACCTATATTTTATAGACCAATCAGCACTTGGTTTGTGATATGGTCAACATCACGCCAGCCGCCTTTACTTTCTAGGATTTTACCTGGTAGCCATTTAAGGCTGGGTCAGCCTGAAGGCCAGTTTTTTTTTTTTTTTAAGTTAGGACCTGAACCAGTGACCTTTGGATACGTGGGTAAGTCTCTAGCCGCTACACCATTGGGCTCTCGTAATAATCAACGATAATGATATATTTTGTTAATTCCACAGATTCTCCAAGCAGCCACAGACTGCGACAAAGCAAACACCAGTGCTCTACTTCAAAAACTAGGATACCATCTGACACAAAATGACCTCGAACTTGAGGGCAAAGAGTTCATGAGAGCAGCCATGAAGACTTGGCTTCCTGCCGCTGATGCCATGTTGGACATGATTATTTTGCACTTGCCATCCCCTGTAACAGCACAGACCTACCGCACTGAGCTGCTGTACGAGGGTCCATTAGATGATGACGCTGCAGAAGGTGCATTGATTCTTGCTAAATACTGTAAACTACTAAATACCCATTCTTAATGTCATTTTGTTGATAAATATAAATGTTATAATGCTGTAATAACTCATAATCTGTTTAAATCAGCATTGATCACTGGCATCATGAGAGCTAATAGACTGAAATGGTTGATATTGAAAGCATGTCAGATGACAAAGAAGAACAAACTGTGTACACAAGGGAGATGAATGGTCGTAGACCACGAGGCAGATCAAGAAGAGGATGGAGAGATAATGTCCAGGCAGACATGCAAACACTTGGTGTCACCAACTGGAAAGAGAAGGCCAACCACATACTTGTCGGATGCCTGTCTCGTTTGATCGGTACTTATCTACTTCATTATCGATAGTAGCATGTTGTTTCAAGTATATATTCTCAATCAGTCCTAAAGTCTTTCCCATCAGTTTGTAGATTTGTAAGCATTTTTATCATGTTGAAGTGTCCTTCTTTATAAAAAGCCTTTGTGTAATCAATGTCATGTCATTTTTTTTCACTTCTTTAGAATGCTATATTAATATTCTCAGGAGATACACACTATTTATTGTACTCCTTCCTTCTATGAACCCACAATGTTCTTTGATTTCTGGTTGTATTTTCTTCCTAATCCTTTGCATTAATCCTCTGCATGCTGATTTTTAGTAAAAATCTTTGCCATATGACTCCAAGTGTTAACTGTTCAATGTTGATCACATTTTTAAGACCCCTAGTTTGTTTGGGGGAGACCCAGGTTTGAATCCTCTGTAAGGCTTATGATTTTTTTCTGTCAGGGAGCAAAATAAAATCCTCACTAGAAATGCAGTTCTTCATCAATGGAAGCAACAGTACAAGAGATTAGAAGCTGCACACAAACCATAAGTCTGCCTTTCAACTCCCAGTTGAGCACTAGTAGTCACCAACTCAAGCAATTTGTAGACAGTTATGATAAGCTGGATTTTGTAGCTTAAATTTTGCTACAGGAAGAGGTAGACAGTCTCATGTGAACCTTTTTTAGTCATGTCTTACAACATATATTGTTGGGTACAGCATTGTTGGGTCTAAAGGTCCATGGTTCAAATCTGCATTGAGCTGTATTTTTTTTTTCATTTAAAGAACTTGGCTTCCAGGTGGATCCAACCTTAAATGGGTACAGGGTTAATCCGTGGGAAGTAAAGGTAGCCGGTGCCAGCATGATGTTGACCCCCATCACCCAACGAGATAAAAATGTAAGTCTATCCTCCTACTCCTGATGCGCCACTGACTTGAAAAGGGACCTTTACTTAACAGCATTACTGTTCTTTGCTTCCCTAAATGACTTTGGAACTGCATATTGTGTACATTAAGTACAGACTAAAAAAAGTATGCTTAAAGCTACACAAAAAGATAATTATGAACTAAAAAATGTTCTGCCTTATTTTATTTCTTTGAAATACTGCAGGGGGCTGCGTGGTCTCGAGGCATGCCGGTGAAGGGTGGGAATTTTTCACATGGATTTCTAGTAATTTCCCCCTGGTCTCTGGGTAGTAAGACCTGGCGCCCGTGTGTATTGTTGCGCATGTAAAAAATCCCTTTGCATTTGGAAATCGAAAAGAGTAGCCTATTGGCGCTGCCCGGGCAAAATTTGGAGTTTAAAATCTACCCAAAGTATTTCAGGATCCTCGCTGGTGCTACATACTTTGTGCACTGCGCTGAGATTCTTCTGATTTAGGCTTGAGTTAGAAGAAGAACCGAGCACTTATGGGTTACACCTGTGGGCCATGATGTTGATCCGTTAAAAAGCATAAACATAAACATGAAATACTGCAGAGTGAAAAGAAAATAGGTAAATAATTTTTTTTTAAAGTGTAATTGTGAAAAAAAAAAATAGATTTGTAATGTGGCACATCTAATTATCGAGAAAAACTTAACTAGGTGTGAACAGACTTATTGTTCTAATATTCAAAGAGAAGTATCTGAGTTATTATGCATATTTGTTAAACATTATAATTATCCTCTACAGCAATGAAAGCCTGTGATCCCAATGGACCTTTAATGATGTACATCTCCAAGATGGTACCGTCTGCTGAGAAGGGTCGTTTCTACGCTGTTGGAAGAGTTTTTTCAGGAACAGTAGCCCTGGCCAAAAAGTGCGAATTATGGGTCCTGATTATGACCCAAATGCTCAAAAGAAGAGAGACTTGTACATTCAGACAATTCCAAGGTAAAATTTAAATTTGTGGATGTTCTGCTTTAAACAGCTTTGTTGTATTCTTTTTTTAATGTTTTTTTTTTAAATTCTGTTGTATATATTTAAATTTTTAATGCAGCCACAGTTGACCAGTGTAATACTGACCAAAAAACTTTTTTTCCCATTGTTATCATTTTTAGATTACCCTGTGGGGGGGGGGGGGGGGATAGACCTGACGACCCCCCCCCCCCCCCCTTAACAAACATGTCATAAAAAGTGACTAATTAGGGGCTTGCTGAATTTGGATGTTTTGGATTGAAAGGCAAAGATGTCACAGCCTATCTGTAAACCATACCACAGTGTTCTAACTGCTCTTGTAAAGACACATGCAGAAGAAAAAAAAAATAATTTGTAGGGGGAAATTGCTACCAGGGTAACCATATTTTTTTAGTATTCTCTGACCAAGCATGAATGTTAGAAGATGCATGACGCATCGTTTAGGACACAAAAAGACAAGCCAGTCATTAAGTCATTTCTCTAGAGAAATATTGGGTCTGACCAGTTGACATTTTGGTAGAAACCTGATTGGATCAGTCAAGGATGTGTCACACCACAGCCTTCTTAGAGGCCCAGGGGCCTTCTCATCTGAAAACCACCGGCAGGGAAAATGAAAAGAAGAAAAAGAAGTTTGCTAATGTTGTTAGTTTTAAGAACTCTTGTGCTTGTGTGTTTAAATAAATGATTGATGGTTTGTTATTACAGAACTGTGGTGATGATGGGCGGCTCGGTCCAAGGGGTGGATGATGCTCCCTGTGGAAACATTGTGGGTCTGGTTGGTGTAGACAAGTTCTTGCAGAAAAGTGGCACCATCTCTACTTTTGAGCACGCCCACAACTTGAAGGTAAAATTAATCAATGTTTGCTTTTAAAAGAGACTAAAATTATAAAGAGTCATCCCAGTTGTAGAAATAAACCGTCAGTTTATTAGAAAAAAATTAATGTAGACCATCAAATTTTTAGGGCATGTTATAAGGAGAAATAAACTTGAACATTTAGTGACAACTGGCAAACTTTATGTGGAAAAAAAAAAAAAAGCTAAGATAAAGATAAATACCTTGAAACATTTGTTGCTGTTTATTTAACATAGTAGTATGAAAAGCTTGTGAAAAACAAAAAAATGTAGCCTGTTTCTTACACCTGTTAACTTTTTTTTGGTACCAAGCAGCTGAACTTGCAATCATTGGTTAATCCTTATTTCACCTTCGTTACTTGTGTATTGTACTTGACATTGAGTTGCATGACAATATCACAAACCCTGAGGTATTAAAAAAGAACAGGTATCTCAAGTTTTCTCAGTGCTTACTCATTGAAGATGGTGTATGGAGGCGGGAAATCAGGAAGGAAGTGTGGATAAAGGAGAACATGATTGCAGCAGCTGAGTGTCTGAGAAGAATCACATTGAATACGCATACATTCAGTGTTTATGGCCCTGAAATTCAGTTCACTAACTGTTAAAAATGATTTACACAAATGGATCTTGCTAGTCACACTCGCAATAGTCATGGGCTGTGATTGCCTTGCCTTTCAGCACAGTATAACATTATTTTCTGAGAAGATGATAAGGGCTAACATAAATATGAACTTCTATATTTATTTCATGTGCAGTTTAATTTACTAAAACTGTTTAAGCTAGAAAAAGTTAACATAACTGTGGGAAAAAAAAAGTTCAGTCGCACCTATGGCAGCGAATTTTGGAATGTCAGTAAACAAATTAAGAAGAATTTGGAAGCAGCAGAGATGGCCACAGTAATTAACAATGATTGTTTGAAAGAAGCTAGTGAAAGTAGCTCTCTATATACACCAAAATGAAAGAGACAAACACTGTTCTTTGACCACTTAATGAGAAGAGAGACATTGGAGAACATTGTGACAACTTGAAGGATCAGTGGAAAAAGGAGTATGGGCAGACCAAGAAAGATGATGCTGGATGGGCTGAAACGATGGCATGGAGGGAAATCATCAAGAGAGCTGTTCCAGGCAACCAGGAATCGTGATCACCTGTCTACATTGAATAGATTTTTTAGGATAGCTAGTATACAGTGGCTTGAATTAATAAACTTTTAGGACCCCCCCCCCCCCCCCAAAAAAAAAATATTCTGAAGGGGAAAGAGCATTTATCACTTTATCTCCAAGCATTTATCTCCAAGTGAATACTTGTTTTCAGCCCTAAATCCCCAGGCTAGCGACTTCCCCCTGCCCTTACTGCAGAGATGGTGAATGCAGGCAGTAATAGCAGTGTTTTGGCAGAATACTGGTTCAGTTACATAAGTGTAAACTTTTTTCATTTCAAAAAGTATTGTTTTCTTATGAAATGTGAGCATTTTTCAGTTTCTGTCATGAATGATTGCTTGTGAAGTAAGAAAAATGATTACAAGGTCCGACAATTGAGTAATGAGACTGATTTTTTTATTGCCAAGACAAAAATTCCAGCTATGAAGCAAAGTATGGAATCTAAAGAGGCAACATTTATCTGTGATCTGGCAACTTTTCAATGCTGATCGATAAGCAGACAACAAACATGCCGCCATTTTGTTGACATAGTCAGAGGTGCATTGTTACATAATCAGCACCTAGCAAAAAGCTAACATTACATTTATTTTAAAACTCAGAAAAACTGCCATTTAAAAGCAACATCAAGAACAACCTTAAAGAAATTAAGACCAGCTTATAAAATACATTAGAAAGAACATATAGATAATCATAACATCTGACCCCAATACTTCTCTGAGGTCACTGCAGGGAGAGATGAAGAAAAAAAATGTCCCACCTGGCAGAGTCTTTGACACTTTCATTTACACCCAAATGAATATCATCTGGTCCAAGAAAACACGCATGACCTCCAAGTTTTGCCATTCCTATATATATGAATACAAATTTTAAAAATTGAATACACTAAGAAACAAAGATGACAAAATGGTCACAGAGACTTACACAACACTTTTATGTCATTATCATCATCATCATCATTACCCTGTTATGTCGTTAAACATACACAGGGTTATTTTCTGATGCAACAAGTTTATGGGGATAATTGTTTATCTCGTGCACAAATTTTTAGGTGGTATTCACGATTAAAAAGTGGTGTGGAAATGATCACTAATGCACCTAGACCTGGACGTCAAATTTCTGTTCGTAATGATGAACTCATTGCAAAAGTCAGAGAACAGATACAAGAAGATCATTGTTTTACTCTGAGGGGGATGGCAGATGAATCTGGTGTTAATAGAGAGACCATTCATAACATTTTAGTGCAAGATTTTATAAAGAAAAAAGTTGCTTGCCAGTTTGTACATTCGTTGTCTGGTGACCAAAAACATCAGCGGGTTTAGTACCCAAGAGAAATCATAAAAACGAGAATTTTGGGCCAAAATACAAGTGTGTTTTCTCAGCCTTCCATCCTATTCCCCAGATTTGTCTCCCTGTGATTATTTCTATTCCCAAAATTAAAGTTACGATTGAAAAGACCTTCTTTAACGATATTGATGACTTCTAAAGGGCTGTAACATCGACTTAAAGAGCAATACTTTGAATGAGTGAGATACAGGTTAAATCTTCAACTGTTGATTATTTTGATTTTTATGGAATTAGTCTCATCCTAATTGTCAGACCTTGTATTTTGTGATTTATGTCATTATTTTGCACAAATGATTTTTGCTCTGAGAAGAATTATTTCCTGTTTACCAGGTTCTCAAGTTCTCGGTGAGTCCTGTTGTGCGAGTGGCTGTGGAGCCAGTCAACCCACAGGATCTTGCCAAGCTGGTGGAAGGTTTGAGGAGGCTCAACAAAGTGGAACCTTTAGTGCAGGTGGAGTTTTCATTACATCATAAGAATACATATGGGGTTTTTCTAGGTGTCTATAAGGTTATGCACATTGGCAACTATGAACCTCTTTTAACTACAGTGAAAAGTCGAAAAATGCAATGGTATGGACATGATCTAACGGCCTCTCAAAAACAATACTGCAGTACTCACTAGAGGGGAAGAGGAGAAGAGGCAGGCCAAGAAACACCTGGTTACAGAACCTGACTCACTGGACAGGCCTCAGGCAGGCAACCATGAAGTCCATCGCAACTGACCGCCAAAAGTGAAGGGAGCTGATCAGACAGTGAACAGAAACTGGTGACCCAACGACACGTAGTGTTATGGGATGATGATGATGACAAGGTTATGCAAACCTTTTGTAAATAATCATATTTATATTATTATCATTATGTTTACATGTAAACCCTTTATCTCCATAATTATGGTTATATGTCAGTAAGCTGTCTTTATAATTCTATTTAAACTTTTATTACATTTGATTTCTGCATTCTTATTCTAAACTGTAGATAATGGAAATTGTTTATGTACTAATTTAATTGTTTTGAAAATGTTAAAAGCCATTTGTCACTAAGGTTAAACTTGAAAAGATAGTGAAAACTGGCAAACTTCAAGGGAATACTGAGATAAATATCTGGATTGTTTGGCAAAAAAGCATAATGAAGACTAGAACACAGATCTAATTTGAAATTAGTAAATGTATCAGATGTATCCTTATTGCCCAAACTTAATGACAAGTCATATGCTAATGATGTGTTTTCCATCATCTCTGTGTCATGATTTCCTATTATAATGAATTTCTGTTGATCAGCTAACAGACAATGAATATATGTACTTAACAGAATTATGGAATTTAAAAAAAATTCTGGGTTTAAAAAAATCCTAATATGTTTGCAGCACATGGCATTGTCATCTACTAAATATAATTGGGCAAGATTTGAACTGTATAGATTATGAAGAAATAGTGTAGATATCAGAAGCAATGTTTTGATGGTGAAATTATGAATTATTTCTGATTAAACTAAATATTTTATTGTGGGACCAAATAATAATGTTGACATCCAAAATGATCATATAAAAAAAATTTCTGAATATTTTTATACCACATTATATTGTCATACAAAAAGTGTGTATGTGCAAAATTTTGGCTCGATAGCTTATCAGGAAATATTGTAAAAATCAAACTCCAAGTTTGTATCAGATATACAAATAAATATAGAAACAAAAGTGAACTTAATAAAAGCTTATACAAATAATGGCTTGTTTGTTTCATAAGTAATGGGTTTTTAAACTCCCATTCTTAAGTGTCACAAAAACTTTGTATTTGATTCATTTTGATTTTTATTTTCATCTTTATTCCAATCAGGTCACCAGTGAAGCAGGTCAGCATGTTGTGGCGGGTGCTGGAGAACTACATCTTGAGATCATTCTACAAGATTTGGAAGAAACCTATGCTGGTGTTCCCATCAAGGTTTGTAATCCAAGCTGCCTTCTCCTATAAGAACTGTTTATGTCCTTGCATCCGTTAACCATGCTGATCTTTAATTTGTGTGTCTCTATCAGTCTGTTCAGATCTTTAAATTAATTAAAATGTTCCGTTTAACCTAAATGAGATTTATTTTAGATATTCATAATTTTTTATCCAACCTTTACTACGCTTATGTACATCATTGACAAACATTGTTAAAGGGAGAAGATGAAATGGCTTTGCGCATGTATGCAGAATACCTCATGACACTTTAACTAGGACAGTTTTCTGGTCAATAGGAGATGTGAACAGCCTATGAAAACCTGAAGAAGGACAGTAAAAAGATAAATGACGGAGTTTGAACTGACATGGGATACCATGGGAAAGAAGCAGTAGGCCAGCAGCACTGGATATCATTTGGGAATGCCTTAGGTGTCAACAGTGACATGAAAAGGATGTAGGTATTACATCCATAAAGTCTGTGTGCTGTTTTTATATATTATATTCTGCTCCTGTGTTAACGGGCTGTAATTCTGGTGGAAAGCTCTAGTTGTTCATTAATTTTGGATTTGAGTCCTGTTCCAGAATCTGAGTTTTGTGTGTATGTCCATTTTACAGATCTGGCTTATTTATATGCAGAGTGTTGTTTCCTCATCCCTCAGGCAGATGCAAGCCAGCATAAAAGAAAATGTCCCCAATTAGTCAACTCTCCTGACATGCTTGTTGAGTGGGGGGGGGGGGGGGGGGGGATATGGAGCTATTTTTTTTTTCTTTTTTTCTTAACAATGGGTCCCCGGAACCCATGCACTGCATATGCTGATATTTTCTAGATGTTGTTTTATTGCATAACACACACATTGATTTCACATCCTCAGAAATCTGACCCTGTAGTCAAATATTGTGAAACGGTGACGAGAGAATCAAGTAGAGTTTGCCTGGCTAAGTCTGTTAACAAGTTGAACAAGCTATACATGATGGCTTCTCCTTTACCAGAAGGCCTGAGTGAAGAAATTGAAAGGGTAAGCAACTGTGATTTTATATTTAATATTTAATAGGCTGTTCTTGTTTCTTTTCTTTGTGTTCACCGGCTGTAAAATCCTGTGGAGTGTTCTGGTTGTTCATACACTTCTGGACTTTGGTCTTGTAACATAACTTGAGTTTTATGCGCACGTCCATTTGACAGATCTGGCTTATTTGTATGCAGACTGTTTTGTTCTTCACCTCTCAGGCACATGCACCCTGACTCCAAAGGTAACACCCCTTAATTGACTTTTATGACATTCTTGTTAGGGGCCTGTGAGTCTGTTTTTTTGTCCCTTTTTTTTCTACCAAAGTAGGACCCTGGAACCCGCAAGGGGGAAAGGCTATTCTTTCTAAATTGGATCTATGGTGGTAAATTAGTTAGTGCTTTTTCAATCAAGACACCTTTTCTGGGTTCAATTCCCAGCTGAGGCAAATTTTGCTTTTTATTTTAAGTAGAATGGTTCAGGGTTGAAAAAATAAAGGGGGGGGGGGGGGAGGTAACCAGACAATTTTTCTTAATTTTCTGGGAAACAGAGGCTAATAAGGAAGGGACCTGGTCCAACCCATGGTGTACACTGTGACCTAGAATATGTGGAGATCTGCCACTTCAGACTCTAAGGACAGTAACTGCATGATAAGCGTTTTATTTTAATTATTTGTTACACGCCCTTTTTTTGCAAACCGACCCCAGCATTTGTTGGCTGTTTATTGTTTTACTAGACAGTTTTACATTTCAGTAGTTGGCCATTGCTTTTATAATAATGGGTGCTCCATATTATTGTCAAAGTCAGCATAAAGTAGTCCGCTGCCAAATTTTTTCTAGGGTATTTGGCAACTGCAAACCATTTGTACAGTCCTGGACCACAGTCAAAATGATTTATTTCAATGAAACTCCATTTCAGGGTGATTTGAGTAGTGACATAAAGGAGAGAGCTCGCTACCTGGCAGACAATTACAGTTTTGATGTCAATGAAGCACGCAAAATTTGGTGTTTTGGACCAAATAATAGTGGTCCAAACATCTTCATTGACTCCACACATGGAGTGGATACAACCAGAGTGAGAGATGCCATTTGTGCTGGTTTTCAGTGGGTGTCTAATGAGGTGAGTTTATAAATGTTTGTTCTGTATTGTAAATATGTAACCATTATTTAATTAATCAAAACTAATCGATGGCTTAGTTATTAGTGAAATGTGTTTAACAATTTCATGATCCTCGAGTACTAGGGTCTGATTTCTGTGATGGACAGTTTATTTAAAAAAAATAATTAAATAAACCATTCTCATGGTTCTTTGACAGTAGTAAGAGAGTCACACTGTGGCAGAGACTGTAATATTCCCAAAGATAGCAGTGGTACACTTGAGCCAACCTTTATTGTGGTGATGGAACCTAATTTTGATTTAATGCATGTTGACTAAATATAATATTCCAAATGGTTTTTGCCCACTGACCAATTATGTCTGTGGTCTCCAATCTTTTTTAGGTCGCCAACCCCCCCCCCCCCCCCCCCCCCACACACACCCACACCCCACTTGAGATACCCCCTCCCCTGGAGTATATGACAAGACCCCCATACCCCCTTTGAGTTTATTGCAAGGGACAACCCCCCCCCCCCCCCCCCCCCTTCCCCCAGCATAACAAAATGTGATTAAAATGAAGAGGACAATAGATTTCACAACAAGTGAAACAGTATGGAGATAGATAGGTTTTGGTCAGACTGTGTTATTAATCTATAGTTAAATGAGTGTATTATCATATTAATTCCATTTTCAACTGTAGATATATAAACTGCATTTTGTTTTTTAAATAGTTAAAAAAAATTTTTATTTATAATTAAACTTTATAAAATAATATAAGGGATTATTATAAATACAAATTAACTCATTTTCATGTTTGACATTACTTTGGGCATTTAGAAGACTACATTTAAGAAATATTTCTTGTGCTAAAATATATATGAAGAACTATTTCACACTTTGTTGCCGTGTGTATGCTAACCTACTAGAAATTAGTTAGTTGCAATGATTTAGTTGAATTTTTGTAGTGTTTTTATGACTTTCATTTAACCACCAGATGTTTAGAATTTATTTTAGATTATAAATTTTCCGTGTTGCTTTTACAAAGCTTTATAATACTGAAAACATCTTTAATCAATTAAAGATTTTCAAAATAATCGGGAGTAATTCATGACAAGTTGAAGAGTCGGACCATTTAATATTAAATATTTTAATTTCCCCATTAAAGCCACTTTCCCGACTCGCTGTAGACACATGTTTACCAGATGTCTTCTAGCTCACAGAATTCACTGCATTTGCATTTGCACAAACATTCAGTGTGACAGGGGATAACTAGATTTACTAAAATAGTATTTAGAAATAGTATTTCCTCTAGGAAAAGAAAGCTCTATTTATAGAAATTCTTACATAATTTTTTTCTCCATTGGCTATAGGCGACTGGGTCACTAGGTCAAGTTAGTGTCCTGCTATAATTAGTTTACAGGTCTAAGGAGATGTAAGCCAGTTGATTTTATCATGCATTTATTTTTATGAATTACTCCTCTTACTCTTAAAAACGTTTAAAATGGTTGTTTTTTTCCAGGAATATCCCCAAGAAATGGAAAGTATGGAAGCTTGGTTTTGTTTTCATTGACCTTTTTACCCCAGGTAATCTAGAAAAAACACAAGCTTCCGTACTTACCATGTTTTTTTGGGATATCATCCTGTAAATGACATGCACCCAACTTATGAGACATTCTAATACATTGCTAGGCTGGCAGATAAGCATACTTGCCACTTTTCTACTGAAGTGCCCCGTTTAGTCTGTATTCAAGAATAATTTTTGTATGATCTGGTCACAGGTGAAATAATTTGCTTTTCAGGGTGTCCTATGTGATGAAACTATGAGGGGCGTCCGTTTCGACTTGAGAGATGCTCAAATCCACTCAGATCCTGCTCACTGCGGTGGAAGTCAGATTATCCCAGCAGCTCGCAGAGGCTTGTTTGCCTCAATGCTCACAGCTTCACCCGCACTTCTGGAACCAGTCTACATGGTTGAAGTTCAGGTAGGATACTTAAGTTATGATGTTAGTCTCACAATAGTTTTACAATAGTTTACTGATTAATGTATGTTTATAGGAGAGGGCTGAATGTTGAATGTTGAATTAAGTATTGACATCACAGCATTCAGGACACTCCCATAAGTGCTCAGTCCCCGTCTTCAGAGTTCCAATTCCGACGGTACCTGAAACTGTCTGATTGTATATCCGTCTCATCCTTCCCCTGAGTGTTGAGCGTTGGCCAGATTCCCTGGTAACTCCTCGCAGTGCCATTCTCCTTAGACCGTAATGATCTATCTGCACCTCCGCACTGTTCACTCGCTCCCAAAGGGCCCTCATAATACTTTTATGCTCATTTCCATTCAACCAAGTGGTTCAGATGACCTGGAAAAAACCTGCTATTTCAACACGTAGGGAAAGGGATATTCTAATATCCGAGACCTCTGAAGTGATGCTTGTCACTCTGCACGAAGTATGCCTGTTTTCACCCTTCTTAACATGTTCTGTGAGTCAGTTACAATCACGGCATATGTGTACAGCTGATTCTCAAGCTAGCGGAAGGCAGCAGAGACTGCCTCCAACTCCATTCTCAAACTAGACGTTGTGATATCATATGCAAGGCTTTGCTGTACTAGGTGACGTCCATTTGCCTTTGCTGTGAAACCCCATGCACTTCGTCTGCCCAACTCAGAGCCATCTGTATAGATAATCACACCCTTTGGGTGGGATTTTAGGAGAGGGCTGAAGTGAATAAATAAGATTTCCTTCAAAGTCGGAGTGTATCTGCCTGAGAGTTGAGGAACCAGCAGACTGCCTACAAATAAGCCAGATCTATAAAGGGGATGTGCATACAAAACTCAAGTCCTGGAAAAAGACTAAAGTCCAGAATTGTAGGAACAACCAGAACTTTCTATCAGTTCACAGTTGATGAACGCCAAGAAGAAGAAAAAAAAAAAAGAAGAAAAAGATGTTAAGTTGCAATACTGCCAGCAGGCATCATCATCATGTGGGATGTCCTTTGTAGAACAACACTCTTGTCTTGATCTGCAGGATTCTGGGTCTTTTGCCAGTTTTCCTGTTCTGTGCTTTCTCATTGCTAGGGAATTTCTCAGTTTCTGCATTCACCACAATCTGTTTTTTGTTTAACTTGTACTAACCCGTAGTACGATGACGATAGAGATGATGGAGAGATAATATCCAGACAGACCTGCAAACACTTGGTGTCACCAATTGGAAAGAGATGAACGGAGCAATGAACCTCAAGGGCTCAGAATGCTAAAGAGGGCCAACTAGAGAGATGAATGGAGGTGGGTGATATCTGCAGCAATGAACCTAAAAGGCTTGTAATGCTAAAGAAGAAGAACAACCCTTAGCACACATATTTTTGACACCAATGATGTTTTGTCGTGGTAAAATGAAAGCTTGCATTGAAAAGTTAATGTTCGTAGATAATGAAATAATCTTCTTTTGTCATCACGCAATTGTTACTGGGTTGTAGCCCAGTGTCATGGTTTTCTGTTTTTGCCTTGCACTTCATTATGATGATGATGGAACCTAATGATTGTTTATAATGACTACATGAGTAATAAACCATACTTATAAAAATAATGACAGTATTTTTCTGCGCATAAGACAATTGTTTTCTCAAATGTTTAAATTGAAAATGGCGGGAAGGCAACCGAACCTACATGTAAAACTATTTAAATATTTATTTCTTAATCGGGGGGGGGGGGGGGGGGGGGGGGGGGGGGGGGGGGGGGGATTATGGGTCATCTTCTACAAGGAAAAACACAGTAAATGTTTAACTTTTACAATTTTAAAACTAATTTGTTAATCTTGTACATGGAAAAATACAGTAAATAATTTTTTACAATTTTAAACTTAATTTGTTAATCTTCTGCAGGGAAAAATATGTTTAACTTTTACCATTTTAAACTTAATTTGTTTCTGCAGTGCCCTTTGACAGTAATAGGCAGTGTCATGAGTGTCTTGTCTAGAAGACGAGGGGTGGTGGTAGAACAGCTTCATCATTCTGGGTCTCCTTTGTGCACTGTGAAAGCCCACACACCTGTTAATGAGACTTTTGGTAAGTTGTAGTCAAAAAGTTCTGTTTAGTGCTAATTGTATTCTTATCAGTTAACTGCAAACTTTGGTGGTCTAAATGACAAGAAGGAACAAAGTTTGCAACCAGGCACTACTTCATCTTGAAACCCACGCTTGAATGGATCAGTCAGTTATGATGGTCTGGACATGTATGCTAAAAGGGAAATAATTTACACTAGGTCATGCATGAGAGCCAAGAACCAGGGAAGCAGAACTTCAGGACGACCCAACATTGGCTGTGAAGACGACATCTGACAGTCATTGACTGACAGAGTGCTGGAATGGAACAAATCCATACAAAAACTGTTGATAGAGATGTCTGGCGATTTCTCTGGCAAACATCTACACCTCAGGGTAGAAGAGGATTGACTAAGTAAGTAAATCAGTTAACTGTCTCTGCTACAAACAAAATCATCACCGCCTTATAATTCCCTCCCAATAAGGGACACAATTTTTTTTTTAATTTTAAATCCTCACCCCTGCTGTTGTCAGAGGCCCTAATATAACCTGACTGGTGAATTTGGTTTCCGGGACTTGAGTCTGTGGGATTCTTATCCGAATGGTAAAAATTTGTGTCACCCGTGTTGGTTGCTTGTTGTACGGTCTGAATGACAGGCACTCTGCTACAAACATTGCACCAGGTCTGATGCGCTACTCTTCATGTCCGCCAATTAATCTCTCATGTGTGATAGTTTCCATTTGTTATTTACCAAGGCGAATGGTTAAAAAAAAAGTTATAGTAAAGGAGTCTTTAATGCCAGTGGCACATCCAGCGTTTGGTTCTTATACCCTTATTTGTATAGATCAGTCAGCACTCGATGGCTGATGAAGTCAGCATTATGCTGGCCATCTTTATTTCCCATAACTTTTCTAGGACCCATTTTAGACTGGATCAGCCCGGAAGCTAAGGGCAGTTATTTAATCATTTAAAAAATATTTTTTGATGTGGGTTCAAACCCAAGACTTTTGGGCCAAAACTGGTAAAAGTATAACTGGTGTGACCTAAAAAGAATAATAAAGATGACTTGAAAGAAACTGACAGATGAAGAGAATTGACTGTCCACCAGAAGGAAACAATCTGCATTATTTAGTCATGTCAGGAGAAGGAGGAAACTGGAGTACATTGTGAAAGTGGGAAAGTTGCATGGGAAAAGATGCAGAGGGGAACAAAGAGAGAAAATGCTCGACATTTTTACATCATGGCCTTGAAGATAATCTGTGTGAGAACCAATGAAACGTACACAATATAGAAGGTTGTCGATAGACATGGCTAACAACGCCCCACATCAAAGACTATGAAAGAAAATCTGTGTCAGAACTAACTGAAAATAAACAAGACAGAAGTTTGTGGATATACATGACACACGACTACCAACACCACACAGGATAGACTATGAAAGTACACAAGACAGAAGACTGTGTTTAGACATGACTACCAAAGCCACTCGACATGGACTATAAGGAGTATAACCTTGCACTGGAGCCCACTGGGCAAAATAGAATAAAAATTTCATGTTGATAACAAATGTGTGTATATTTTCAGGATTTTCGGAAGAACTGAAGTCTCAAACAAGTGGCCAGGCTTTCCTCCAGTGCATTTTTGACCACTGGCAGATCCTTCCTGGCGACCCTTTGGTCTCTGGGTCAAAGGCTGCTGAAATAGTGGCCAGTGTCCGAAAACAGAAGGGCTTATCAGCAAACATCCCAACTCTGGAGAGTGTGCTGGACAAGCTGTAATTAACACACACTACAGCCGATATATTTCTACAGTTTGTTTTCTCTGAAGAACTGTTTATATTTAGCTAATACAGTATGTTTTTAATCAGTGAAGTTGCAAGTGATTGTATAAAGAAAACTAAATCTGTAATTCACACACACATACTACATCCGATATATTTCTAGTTTGTTTTCTCAGAAGAACTGTTTATATTTAACTAATATGGTATGTTTTTAATCAGTGAAGTTGCAAGTTATTGTATAAAGAAAACTAAATCAGTAATTAACACACACTACAGCCGATATATTTCTACAGTTTGTTATCCCTAAAGAACTGTTCATATTTAGCTAATACAGTATGTTTTTAATCAGTGAAGTTGCAAGTTATTGTATATAAAGAAAACTACCAGTTCACACACAACTGAATTTTAGTTTTAGTTTTGTTTAAGTATTTAGGTTTTTCTCATGAGAAGGAAAGAATTAAATTGTATTAATTGGTTTTAATGTCAGTATGTTAAAAATAATCTTAACCATTTTAGATTCTTTGCTTTATATTAAACTTGACTTTAAAACTACTGTAAAACTTTAGCAAACAATAAAAGAAATATAAACACCAGAAACAATTTTTATTTTAAATTCTTTTTAATGAAATGCTTTTCATTGTGCTGGTCATAGAAGATAATGGCAGTGTTTTGTGAAACAAAGCCACACAACAAAGATTTTTCTTTGTGAATTCTAGCACACACATAAATTGCATTTAATGTGATATATTTATTGTGAACACATATCTATCCTCAAGTTTGAAAAGTTGACATGAGCAAACCTCCATTTTATGAACAGAGTTCTAAATCCCCAGTGTTGAACTTCTTGTACATATGTGTGCAGTCTATTGTAGTATTCAGTTCGCTGTCTAAATACTGTGGTCTGTTGCTTTCATGTGAGAATGTTGATTTAGTTAGTTAATTAATCGACAGATTATCCTCATAAGTCCATAAGCGCTCGGAATGCATCTTCAGTATCTCCCTTAGCATGTGGCAACTGGAAAACACCAGTTCAGTGTTGGTTTCCTATTCTTCTTTGGCTACCAATATAATGCTCATGTCTGGAAATACTACCTCTTTTGACCCGAAGTTCTTTCTAGTCATCTTTTGAATGCTGTTGACTCAGCATCATCTCCTGAATTATTTACTCGTCCTACCTCTTTGAGAGCAATGAGAACATCGTTCCGGTCCATTGCTTGTCCTGTATCTAGCACAGCCCTACCAGCAAGCCAATCCACTCATTCATTCCCTTATATTCTAGAGTACCCTGGTACACAAATGAAACTGATTCCTGCCAGATGCGATTTCCTCGGTGACTCCAACCACTGTTTTAAGCCCATACAGTCTCAATCTTCTTAAGCATGCTCATGAAATCACTTAGAAAGCAGGCATGGGAAAAAATGCTGTCACTAGCCACATAATTGCTTTTGTTACCGCCATTACCTCTATGATCAGACTACTTAATCTTAGCCGAAGACTGTTGACCGTCCACTATTCTCTGCTCTGCATTCATCTGAATCCCACTGTTTATGCCTGTGTCCTCCCCATATGGGTAATATGGTCGGGGGAAGGAGGTGGAATAGGTCCACAGCCCCATAACATGTTGTAAAAGGCAACTAATTACAACTGTGCCGAAATGTGAGACATGTAGGATCAAAAGTTGAAGATATCACAGCCTAGTTGTAAACCACAACACAACTTGCTAACCGCCCTTTAAAAGGTCAATGCAGAAGATGAAGAAGAATGCCTGTGTCTGATGTGTATGTTTCTATTATGCCCTCATTTTATTATCCCCTGGATTTTGTATGTCATATTTGTCCAACGGTAAACCTCTGTCTCATACGAGGTCAAGCCAACACCCTTATTTCTTCTTCGAAAACAAATTATTCACAAAGAAATGAACTTTAAAAAAAAAATTCGTCTATTTACTTTGGGATGATATGAAATCTCGTGGCCAATGGCATGTGCTTGCTTATCAGACCTTTGAAAATGCATCCACACATATACTGCCATGTTCATAAACAGGACTGATAACATATGCTACAAATGAAGTGTGCAGTAGAAAACTGAAAACATACATTTCCACTACTATGTCAATAAGGTTAGTTGCGTATCCTTTACAGGACGTTGCAGAACCAACCTCCAGCAGCCCCTGGCTGTTGTGTGGTTTCTCTAGGCAAATTTACGTCCAGTAGTTTGCTATTGCTTTCTACTGTGTCAATAAAAGATTGAAAGCATGTATTCCCGGTCCTGTTTTAATACAAGAGTTAAAACATGCATTTCTGCTACTGTTTCAATACAAGATTGAAAATTTGTTTTCCATTAGTGTTTTAAAACAAGACTGAATAAACACATGTATTCCACTACTGTTTTAATACAAAACTGGAAAAAAAATATACTTCCAGTAAACGGCTTCAATAGAAGACTGAAAACATATACGTCTAGTTAAATTGTTTCAAGACTGACAAAAATATACGTCCAGTTAATTGTTACAAAACTGAAAAAAAAATTTTAATGAAAGTTTAAGTTTCCACTACTGTTTCAGTGCTAGAATAAAGAAATATTGTTCCAGTGCAGTTTTTCAATACAAGAATGAAAGTTTATGTTTCTATTAATGTTTTAGGAGGTCTCCGTAGTGAAGTGGTCAAGCCGTTTGCCTCGCACTCTGAAGGTCGTGGGTTCATTCCACTGCTGTGCCCTTCAGTTCATGAGTGCAATTTTACAGAGATCCCTGGGGATCATTGCCGGAGGAACAGAGTTTGTGCTCTACATGGCACTTTTGGCACATGGCTAGCCATTTTGCTGCGAGAGACAGCCATATGGGATAAAACCCAGTGCAATGAAGCCGATCTTCTTGACTTTAACTTTACTGTTTTAATGCAAAATTTCAAGGCAACACTGAAAACATATGCTTCCACTGAAATGTTTCAATATAAAAATTAAAGTACATATTTCCATTACTGTACAAGACTGAACCAAGGAACGTCCAGTAAAGTGTTCTTATTCAAGATTAAACACTCTAAAAAAGTGTTTCAAAATGGGACTGAAAATAATAAATTCCTTCATTATAAAAGTGACTATATACACTTCCACTACTGCATTGTCTACAGTATTAACAAATGCACACTTCTGCCTGTTTACTATAGAGGAACATTGATATCAGGAGGAGAATCAGCATAGAACCAATACTGAACTTTATCGGTAGTAGACAACAAATCAAATGGTTTGGCCATGCATCAAGATTGGTACAGGACAGGGCACCACAGAGAGCAGTGTTATACAGATACACTGGAAACAGATTCAGAGGTCGACCACAGAGAAGATGGACCGCACAAATATTTGAGACACTGAAAAGTACTATATTCGAAGCGAACAGAAGGACCTGTTCGGGAGATCTCTTTCTTACCTGATGCTGCAAGGTATTCCAGGAGTAGAGGAAAGAAGAAAAGATATAAAGTCAGTTTGAAAATACATACATAAACAACCATTTAACTGTACATACATTGTTTTTCTGAAACAAAGTCATCAAAGATTCACTTCTTCTTTGTACTTAAACCATATGTTGAGCAAATCAAATGCCTGGGATCAATGACCTTTCTCATTGTATGAGATGCTAGAGATTAATGATTCTTCTCACTTTATTCAAGTGCATGAAATGAGTTATCTTTCTCATTGTATGAAATGCTAGAGATTAATGATTCTTCTCACTTTATGCCAGTGCATGAAATGAGTTATCTTTCTCATTGTATGAGATGCTAGAGAATAATGATCTATTCTTTTGTATGGCACTACTGGATATTGGTGCGCCTGTGGCTTAGGCGTTGCAAGTCCGACTCGTAATTCCAACATGCCACGATCGAAACCCACGGCTGGTTGCATTGATTTTCATCATGGTATGGGGCGTCACAGGTCAACCTAGCCTAAAAATGGGTACCAGGATCGCTATCCTGGGGAAGTAAAGACAGCTGGCGTAATGCTGACCACATTACCCACCTAGTGCCGACGGTCTGTAAAAATATGGGAGCTCTTCCCATGTACCCGATACGCCTAAAGACGTGAAAATGGATCTTCACTTTAATTTAATTTTTACTGGATATTAATGATTTTCTTATTGTGCGACAGTGCTAAGGATTAATTACTTTCCTCAGCACATGACAATATTGAAGATCAATCATCTTTCTCACTGTTTGACAGCCACAGAGATTAATGATATCCTTTCACTGTGACAATGTACTATATACACAGGAAGGCACACATGCAAATAATTCCACAGCACACCAACATATTTTGGGTATCAATATACATGTCGAATATCAAAATGAACCCAAACATACATAAACCTATCAACAGAAAGCTCATGACATGTTCATAAAATAACCAAAAGCTATTAATGCACTCGATAATTTTCAAAACTGTACAGTGAAAAAACAAACATACACACAAGTTATTTACAAACGGTTATCAAAAAATCCAAGGAAAGGATTGTTTACAAATTAAAAGTAGTTCATCTTTTTGTCAAATTCAAATACATATGACTGCAGAGTCAGTAGTATCCAGTTCGCAGTCTAAATACGGTGGTCTGTGTGAGGATATTGATTTAGTCTTCAGAATTTGTCCTGGATGGTAAATGTTCCAAAGAGTTAAGGTTAGAGCCAAGATTTTGTAATAAACCAATAGATACTCCTTTGGTGTTATGGCAACGTGAGTCTGGCTGTTTATACTCCCCAGGAAATTTCATTGTACTTTTTCTAAGCGAAAGTGTTATGAGTCTGCAGGCTCTGTGCACCTTCGGGTAAAGGCAGGACAAATAGTTAACCAGATGACCTGGACCATCAGTACTGAGACTCTTCGCTGGCTTTTGAGGAGGGACACATAGCTAAAATGGGCTTGTCCTGAATGGCGTGATGTCAAATTTCTACCCATATGAACTCAGATTTTATAGACTAGGTTAACCTGGGAGCCATATAAATTATAAAAATC